CAGAGAATGTTCTTCTCTCTCTTCCCCCCCCCCCCTCTCTCTCTCTCTCGCTCTCTTGTCGTCGAGGTGCACAAAGCAGAGCTGTTTAACCGATTTAAGGGTGGAAACCATCGAGTCAGTGGTCGGTCTGTGCCCCGATTGTAGTCCTTATCACTAGCAATAACAGGACGCACTCTCGCGTGCCAATGATTGCATGGTTCCTAGGCGTTCTACCGTGAGCACTGCCGTTGCACTAATACTATTATGGAACCAGGTCCTTGGATCACCATGAACGTACCTTGCCTTCTGTACCCTCCAGGAATACAGAGTAGGTTACGTACACGGTGTCAGTTGCATGTCCTAATCAGAGCTAATGTCTATTGTTCACTCGGTGGACACTGCTGGCAACGTACGGGGTAATCGATCACGTTCAAAGACTCAAAATCATCGAAAATTTGATTCGAGTTCAGTCGATACTTTACGTCGTACCTCACGAAACGCGGCGTAACACGTTCGAACATCTTACGGCAGGTATTAGCGGCTAAACGTTATTAAATTCGTGTTTTCAGCGCGCGGGCGATTTTCAGACCATAGTAAAATACAATGCGAGGGAAATACAACGCGTGATATGTTAGTAGCCATTAGTAGCGCAGTACGTGTAGTTTGCCTTGTATCGCGAATATTAGTGTGCAACGTTTCACGTAAACTGGATATATTTCGCACGCTAGAATATGATAGAGCACGTATGCCGCGCATTGCTTTTGTTCGTGATTTTCGCACGGCGTTTCCCCTGGCGCGGAATATCTCGAAAAATATTACGTTAAAACAACCTGATCACCCATGCTTTTATTATATCGATATTATTATCGATATATTCTTCCTCCTTGATTGTAAATTCCCAGATATCCGATGTCCAATAAAATCTTGAAAAATTTCTGATTATTTCAATCCGATTATATTCCTTTCTACGGGGGGCATACGTACATCTAGCACGAATATACATTGCCGATGCATCGATGTCAATACTTTTAGTGATCGTCAAACGGAGTAGAACATTCGTGACTTAACATCACATTGTCAAGCGAATAACGGAGTTTTAAGTGACGTTAATAAAATCAGGTGTCAATCGATTTTCTGGATAATGCGTTCTATTTTGTAAATGCTTCTCCATCGACACTTCGTGTCGAAGATATCAACGAGATATCACTGCGATCGTTGCAGGTAAAGAATGGACAACAAAAAGAAGTAATCGAAAAGATAAATAATGAAAAAGAAAGTGATATTCAGTCAAACTAAACACGGTGTCGTCTAGGAACGCGCTACGGTGTCGAAAATCTTGACAAATGAACAAAGTTATGAGGAATAATTTCTCTTGTCGCCCGGAAATCGTTCATTCTTGAAAGGGTTCTTTAATTAATTAGCACACGAATCAATATAAAAAAAAAAAAAAAGAAGGTCACGATAGATGGCGGAGGAAAACGTAACGAGAGTAAAACAAGAAATATCAGAGATATTTCCGGGCAGGTCTCTTGAAAGAAAGAAAGATGAGAGGCAAAAGCGGGTGAAAACGATGGAGCTAAAAAAGGTAAGAGTGGGATTACTTGGCAAACCAAGAGACCCGAAGCCAGTACTGAAGCATCAGCCTCGGGCCCTAGTTACACGATGGCTCGGTTCAGGTTCTACCGCAATTCGCGAGTATATAGTGCTTCGAATCTCCTGGTTTTCCTAAAAGATCTACCAGCATAAACCAGCTGTCTTTATTGCCTAGCCCAATTCTCCTACCCGAAGTTTCCACCGTCTACACGTGTCTATTTGGTCATTACGATTCATAATTAAATGCATACATCCGCCACTAAGGATCACTAACGCCACTTCTGTGTGTGCATATATTAATCTAGAAGGGATTCATTGTTAAATACTGTGAAAACAAACGGTATATATATCTGTGCAATCGTTCGAACATCAAAAATACATTTTATATGTTCGGCAGAGAAAGAAAGGGAAAAGAAAAATTGAAATAAATCGTGGCAGGAAGAAACATACCATCGCATGTTGCCACTATTCGTGTCCATTTTATTTATCGCCTGTTAACCCGCCGTGACTGTGGCCGACGTAATCGCAGAGTCATTAAAGTCATTAAATCACTACCACCTATACGATCCTATTTCCACACTCTCGCCGATCTTCGATTTATTCTATACACGTTTTCCTTCGTGCTTTTACCACCCTCCATTGTTACTCACATAGTGAACTTTATCGCGAATAACACTCATTCTGTCTCTCTCTCTCTCTCTCTCTCTCTCTCTCTCTCTCTTTTTTTTGGCAAAGCCGAACGTGACATAAAAAGGCGTCATTCTCATAATATTGACTTTAATAATTTAACCTTAATTTGAAAGTTTTTCGTTTAACTTTCTCGTTGCACGATGGATTTAATGCTTTTTCACGAAGAAAAGAAAGAAAGAAAGAATGAATGAAGGAAAACACAGTGTATTAAGCGAAACAGAATACAACGTGATTCATTATGAAATATCAAATATTATTATACAAGAAAAAAAACGACAGACTAAAGACTATAAAACGTACTTCGAGGAAGCTAGAAGTGTAGCTTAGGTTAGTGAATGTCGAGCAGACTCGAGTCTAATGAACGAATGGGGTCTCTGCAAAAAAGGAAAAGATAATAAAAAAGCTTACCGGTCGCTTGTGTGCGGTCAGTTACTTTCCATTCTTTGCTGTTCTTATTTTATTCTACTCTGCCGGTGCAACGTTACTACATCACAGTTGAATTCCAACAACAAAAAGAACGTAAACTTTTAATGATAAAACAAGAGCTATTCTATTAATAACATTTACAAAATTTCCAATAAATGCTTTTCGTTTAAGTAAAAACGGGGTATTGATTTTATCCATATAACGGTATATAATTTAACGTAATTTTCTCAAACGGTGCATAACTGAACACAAATTTTTTTCAAATTTTTTACATGATCGATGAAATTTATATGATTTATATAATTTTCATACAAAAACCAGTATGAAAATAGAACAAACCGATAAAACCGATATCCTCAATTCAAGTAACATGAAAAGAATATAAAATGAGATGAAATGATATGAATGCGAATAAAAAGAAATATAACTTTATAATGGGTAATTTCGCTCGAAATTTATAAAATCATTCAAACGAAATATCGAATAATTAAAAATAATATGCAAGGATGTATGTTCAAAAGTATGCTGTATAAATCAATATGATTCATGTTCGAGATACAACGTTTAGTTTTTGTTCCTGATTTTCCATCTTACCCTCTTCTTAACCACATGAAAGCAAGTGTACCAACCCTTCAGTCGGTGTATCAGAAACCGTGCCTGCGTCAACTTTATTGAAACTATATATACACGTAAAAATTATAATTGATCATCCAGCTTATGAGTTTTTTTTAGTATTATTTATTCAAAATTAAATAAACTCTTAAATTTATTTTGTATGTTTTTTAGCATTCGATAGTTCAACGTTTTAAAATCATAATACTTGTAGTACAATTTTTATTTGTTTTTACGAGTTAAAATTTAATAAATTTCTTCCTTTTTATATTCATATTATATAATTTCCTTTTGGAAGCAAATTTGCAGTTGATAAAGAAGCATTTGAACTGCACCTACGGTCGGTAATGCAATTTCTAGAAATGCGCCGGTAACAAGAGTAGAGAGTCGTCGGTATAGACTTACCTTCGTTTCTTGGAATTTTATGGTAATAAAACGGAAAGGTTTATAGACAATCGTTAAAAAACGAAAAGATATATTTTGGTTTCATATTTTTGCATATTTCTAAACATACTGGAATATACTGTGACTGTTTGAGCTTTAACAGACTTAAAAGAAATAAAAAAGAATGTACTTTATCTCAAATAATTACATCCCTTACATTCCTTTCGTAAAATATTGTTTTCTTTAAATATATTACTTATATTAGATTAATAAACAATATCATTGAAATGCTGCCTTATTATAGTAAGATGAAGCAATTGTCTGTAAGCTCAAAACAACTGTGTATTCGATCAAGTTAAAAGAAATCACTCAGCTCGAGAACGAAGGGGTCACGATTTACAGATATATCGGAAGGAATACTCACTAATACTTATTAGTACTAATTAAAAATTAAACGAGTATAAAACTGAATTGAAACAAGTGAAAAAACAAATAATTTCAATATGATATGTTATCACTCTAACGTGATAAAAATAATAAACAAACTGTCCTTTTAATTATGTACAAATTAAAGGCAGAAAAAAATTAAGAACGTATGATTAATACAATAAAATAAAAATTAACAAATAAATAATACATCAGTTTCTGTAAAATCTCGATTAACAATACGAAAATAACAATAAGTTATCAACTGATATTAATTACACGTTCTATGATAAAGAGAAAATGAATTTATTTCATATCAAACAAACAACTTTTAATTATCGAGATTTTACATTGTTATATTAATTGAATAAAAATTTAATGAGAAAAATTGTCACATTATTCAGCAACAACACATACAGAAATGTAGAACAAACACATAACAGTGATTAATGAGCTTTACGAAGGGAATAAACCATTGATGTTTTATCATACAATTAAAACATTTTATATTGAGAATAAAATCTATCAATAATGCCAATGATTTATAATACTTATTTGACATAAGTAAATCTATAAATTTAATAATACTTAAATCTATAATATTTCATTTGCAAATTAATTCTTATTCATTGCTCATTAATTCTTATTCAATGTTTTCATTTGTAGAAATATATATCTAACTGATTTATCAAATATTCAACAGAAATGTTGTACGATACATATGAAATTTGAATGTGTTCCTTTTTAACAAGTTGAAAAATTCATGTTTCATAGAAGTATATGTTGCTGAATACATACGTAATAAATAAATAAAAAAAAAAAATAAACTAATCATACTTGCAATAAACATTTGAATGTTTCCCCTCTAGGATCGCACTGTTGATACGCACCTGTTTATTTTCTCAATACTGGTTCTATTTCTCCTTATTCTGAAAATGAATTAAAAAAAGGTTAGTTTAATATGAAGAATTGCATAAGTATTAAGAAATGCATTAATTGAGAAAATTAAAAAAATTGTACATCTAAAGGAATTAACTGCAGTTTTACTGTTCTTTTTCTGTTTGTAACACAAATTTTTAAAAAGATAGATACGTATAAGAATATAAAAGAAAAGATTTAGATTTGCAATTCAAATCTATAACCATCAAAAGAAACTGAATGTAATGTGAAACAATAAAATTAACATAAAGTGAAAATCTGTAGAATATAAACTCTATTTACTAATATTATAATGTTAGTTAAATGTAACGTAATTATTAATGTATTTAGTATTAAATATGATTTAGGAACATTACAAAATCGATACTTTTCTTTCGGAGGAAACGAAGAAAAACAGAAAATTACGTAGATACAAAGTATCATTTTTCAATGATAAATAAGAAATATGATATGCTACGGAGAACACTCACGAGAAAAGTTAAGAAGAATGACAACGTAAAAATAAACGACAAACACTGCGACGATACAAATGGAAGCATTGTAAGATACAAGAGGTTATATGTTCTGACGCGCTTAACTGTCACGCGATGCATGCTTGCTTATACACCTTTCATACGATTTGTACTGATGTATCTGAACTGCAATCATATATAGTAAAGTATTACATTTCAATAACGATTCACTGTGATAATTTGACCCAGATGTAAACAAAATGATTATCCCTGTTGTTTAGAGGGCGACCATGGAAAGGTAGAACAAACGATTATGTACAGAATAGCAAAACACTCACCACTGCTTTCGTATAAACGTCGACCAATTCGATATCAACTAATTTCCACCCTCACATTGTAAACTGACATGCACTGTACCTATTTACTACACACTGACTTACAAAATATGTGTAAAACATATAAAAAAGGCAATAATTAGGAAACTGACAAGAAAGTCGCCATAGCGCTTCAGTACTGGGCGGCCATATTGCTTTGCTTCCCTCTACCTGACATTTCGCGGGATTTTATGAAACTGTTTAATCGTTCATTCACGTAATACAAAATACCTACATAGTCAAATACATATTTTTTTCTACTCAATTCCTATCTATTATTGAAAAGAGTAGCTGTAAAAAGAAAAGTTATTGAAACGAGAAATTACAAATATTATATAACTTACAATTTTATATAAGATTTAATAATCAAAATGTAATTGTTATATCAAGCTAAAATTATTCACAAATGAAATTGAATCTGATTTTTATACATGATTCATGCCAATTCACAAAATCAGTGAATTTAAAGAATTGTAAATGTTTATTTATAATATTAAACAAAAATGTGCTAAATATAAACTATATTTTTATTGTAAAAATAAAAGTAAGTTTTATTATTTATTTCTTAAATAATCTATATAAATTAGTCCCTCTAATTCATTAACACTTATAATATACAAATATCTGAACAATAAAAATGTTTTGTAATGTTTAAAGCTACTGAAGATGCGAATTATAATCAAATTAATTATATACTCACTTATAAAATATATCTGGAGTCTTGTTTGTTTAAAGCTTTCTATTAATATTACAAATATTTTTGTAATTTGCCTTCATAATATACATTGTTAATTCAAATACATAGTCTTATATTATATTATTATACATAATATTTATTACTAGAATTCATATTCTTTATATGTAACAATATATGATCTTATCGACCTATCTATAGGTCGACCTTCTTCAATAAATCCATCAAAAGTAATTTTAAAATCCAAACACATGTATGCACAAAAACTATTTCCATTACATTTTTTAAATGGATACACATATACTTGTTATTTTTACTAATAGTGTGTATTTGTTTTATACAAAATCTTTCAAAATTTTCCTTTTTGTGAATTTATAATCTAAATTATCTAATTCATAGATTTCTCTGTAATCACTGAGAATAATCAGATGAAAAAAAAATAATATCTATATCTACTAAAGATAGTTATTGAAATATACTGATAATAACATTAAGATAGTAAATATTACTTTAATCAATTTACTTAACTTGAAATATGAAATAAAATTATTTCTTAATCTCTTTGTAGGATTAATTTATGCATCTTTATGTTCACTAATAGTAATTGAGAATGACTGACTTTATACTAATTATTAGAACTACTAGGTACACATATCATCAAGTAATTAATAAATTCTGGTATTTTAATCTATTAATAAGTTTTGACTATATCAAAATTCTTATATATAAGAACTACTTATACATAATTGGTGTATAGTTTGCTAAATATTGTAAGAAGGATATATTTGGAAGGCATTTTTCAGAAAAAAAACTTATTAATTATACAACTGTAGCTAAGAAAATCATAAAAATCATAGCTGATTTTTAAAACTTACTCTTCATTGTAATTTGCCTCCAAAATTTATAAATTAAACCTGAGAAAGAAAAAAAAGAAAAAATAAATAATTAATGTATTAATGGTTAATATGAATTTGCAATAAGTAGTACATGTAATACAAATTAACTTAAAAAAGCTTATTTAAATCACAATATTAATGAAGACAGAATTAATTTAAAAAAATTTTAGTAACAGTAAAGAAAATAATAGCAAAAAAAAGAAATAAAATAAAATTGAAATCTTACTCTTTTGTACAGACATATTTTTTTTTTTTTTTTGTTTAAAAATATATATAATTTGAAAATTAATCATAGATAATATATAGCGTAGATATGACATTATATTCTCATTTTAAAAAGAATCATAGGTTTTGTCATAGAATGACAATAAATAATAAAGTTTGAAACAAAAAGATTTTCTTTTATTACGTTCCAAATCCAAATTTGCATTTAAATGTGCGATGAACTAAAGACTTGCATATTAAATATAAATTTTTTAAAGATTTCATTGTAAATAACTTGAATACTATTGTAATATAATACTATTGTTTTATATAGTAATATGAATAATTTCCCCTAGACCAGTTAAATATTATAGACTATTAAGAATTTTTTTCTATTGTGTTTTCATTATTTAATATTTTTATTGACAATAATTATTGATAGTAATATAATTACATTAATATAATAAAGATCCATAATAATCATCCTACGATTTTCGAAATAATCGATATTTCTCATGATAGATTTTTATACGAGAAAGATGGCGGAGAAAAGCATGCCTCGTAAAGAAGAAAGTGTTATGCAGAAGAATCATCCAGAAAGAAACATCATCATGATCCAGAAGTTCTCAGATAAAAATTTAAAAATTTAAAACAACTGTTATTAAGAATATACGTAATAGTAAAAATTTTACTATATAATATAATACAATTTCTCATGCCTCAGTTTAAAGTAATGACAACTTTTCATCAAGTGTGTGAATATTTTCGTTCTTTTTAAAGCATTTCTTATGAATTTTATGTATTTGATTTAGATCAGAGTTTTTTATTTTCTATTTCAAGTTATCATTTCATACGAAACGAGCGATTACAACGCCCCAACGATAAAATACACAATATACTTCCTACGATTCTCGAAATAATCGATATGTCTCATGATCGATCTTTAACTGGAAATTGGCGGTTAAAAATGGCGGAGAGTAGCACACGTCACCTGTAAAGAAGGAAGTATTGTCCAGAAAAATCATCCTGGAAGTGTCACCCAGAAGTTCTTAGGTAAAAATTTAAATCAATACTTGTTAAATATGTACTTATGTTATTAATTTTTAATATAATACGTGCATTTACGGCTTCAACTCAAGGTAAGATTTAATTTAACCAAATTATTACACATAATTTTCAACAATTAAAGAAATAATAGCACATAAACATTTAAACAGAACATATTGTGATAAAAATTATTTATAATTTTATATTAAAATTTAATTTCAATTCTAACCAGCAAATATTGTGACCTTGTAATATGATTAACTTTTTATTATATATATACATGTATATAATATGCTTTTATTTCTATTTTAACATTTTCTATTCATTTGTTGATTCTTTAACCTCATGTTGCGTAATTTTTAACAATTCCAATAATAAATTCAGTAATTTAGTAAGGATGTACGTATTTATTAATCTAAATAACTTATTTATGAATCTACATAATAGTTCTATTGCGTAATATAATAAAATTTCTCATGTCCCAGTTTAAAGTATTGACAATTTTTCATCAGGAGTGTGAATATTTTCGTTCTTTTTAAAGAATTTCTTATGAATTTTAAGTATTTTATTTAGATCAGAGTTTTTTATTTTTTATTTCAAGTCATTATTTCGTGTGAAACGAGCGATTACAACGCCCCAACAGTGAAGTACGCAATATACTTCCTATGATTCTCGAAATAATCGATATGTCTCATAATCGATCTTTAACTGGAAATTGGCGGTTAAAAATGGCGGAGAATAGCCCACGTCACCTGTAAAGAAGGAAGTATTGTCCACAAAAATCATCCTAGAAGTGTCACCCAGAAGTTCTTAGGTAAAAATTTAAATCAATAGTTGTTAAATTTGTGTTTCTGTTATCAATTTTTAATATAATATGTGCATTTTTCAATTCAAGGTAAGGTTTAACCAATAATTATTACATATAATTTTCAACAGTTCGGGAAATAATAGCATATAAACATTTAAATATATATATAAGAATATATCATGTTAAAATTATTTATAATTTTATATCAAAATTTAATTTCAATTCTAATCAGTACAAATATTCTCACCTTGTAATTGACTAACTCGTGTATATATATATACACACACATTTTATTGTATGCTTTTACACACACACTTCCATTATAACATTTTCTATTTATTTACTAATTCTTTAACTTCATTCTTTAGTTCAACATAAACACAACGTTTTTGTGTGTGTATAAGGTTCTTCATGTTGCACCTGTTTCTTTGGCATAACAAATAAACACTTTCGACTGAACATGATTTGTCGTAAAAAGTAAATACAGTGTATAAATTCGTCTTAAATATCGTGCCTGTTCGGGCAGGATCGCTCCATCCCCTACTATTTTCCTAACTGCGAGACGAGACGTGTCGCGGTCATTCGGTCGTCGAATTTCGTGACAACAATACGCATTACGTCGCATTAGGCTCGCAATATTTCTAACCTATCGGTGGTGTTTCTTCGATGGCATCGCTTTTTCGACACTCTTTTGCTTCCATTTATATCTCATTAATAATATCATTTAATTAATACGCGTGTGTTTAACGATTCGATGAGCATTACGATAACAATAATCGTAATGCTTTGAAACTTTATGTGCAAATTTTCACTTCAGTCGTCGATTTCACTTGTACGGTTACCGGTAGCTTGTCTCGTATGTTTCTTTAATAGAATTTGAAGTTGATTATCGTTTTATTTTTACACATTTTGCTTTCGTTTGGCACATTTGTTCTGACTTTTAGTTTCTTTTGTAGGTTATTTCGTGATTCTAGAAATAGGATAGAACACAGACGCCATGTGATTATTAATGGACAATCTGATGAATTTTGATGGAAAGTTGGCAACATTTTATTCATTTGGATAACATTTGGTATACAATTTATATATA